TATATATATATATATATATATATATATATTGTTACGTATCTGCTTGTTTGATAATTTCCCGTAAAAATTCTCTCCGAGAAACTTCAGCGATACAAGTCCTTTCTTAATTAAAACTAGTTTATTCTTTCTCGTTACAAACTTTGTAATACACTTAATTTCCACAGTCACTTTCAATTTAACTACTTTTATAAACATGCTATAATTCACAGCAATTCACACACTTTATTACGGTGCCTACTGCTCGCTTGACTCAATTATCTGTCTCTATATCTATTTATCTGCAATTATCATCTCCGCTTTATTTGCTGGGCTTATATATTAAAATAGAGGGTGCCTAGAAAAGACTACAGTTGCCAGGAACAGTCATGATCCTTCTAGAAACTCCAGCGCACAAGCTTCCAGTTTTTCGTGACTTCCACTGTCGTAACAATATATATATATAGTAAAGCCACAAGATATTTGTATGGAAAATATCTTAATGATTCAGTGACATAATTCTTCTGAAATTTGCCAGTTAATTATTACATGCTGAATACTGTCAGTGGAAAACAAATACTTAGGATTAAAAGAGTATCTAAAGTACACTTTTCTGTTCTCAACTTGCTCTTTAGAAAAGGAGGAAGCCTTGTAGAGGGGATCAAATTATTGGGTTCTCATAATTTTGACTAACCAATTTATACATGTGCTTTAAATATTTCATGTTTAATTTGCACATTATGTTGCACAATTTTGTGTTGCAACCAAATCTTCTGCAGTTTGTGTTCTTCTTTGTATCTCCTACTTGCCAAATGTTGTGTTAGTACTATTAATTTAAATATATTCCAGATTTGAACAAATTTTATTAAGGCACACCACATCAACATCACTTTGTTTAATTTCACCCTCTTGCAGTTATTTTAATTAAAGTCAAACTTCTTTTTTTTCTGTGTGTTCAATTAATTTTTGTTGGTTTCAGTGTGACTTTCAAAAATATGTTCATTGTTAATTTTTCAATTTACACAATGATTTTTTTACATTAATGTGGTCCATATGAAACATGTAAATACAAAAAGAAGAATGTTCAGTAAACTATTTTTGATTTGATTTCATCTGTGGTGCAATAGTATCCCTTTGTTTGATGTGATAATAACTGAATGTTGTATCTTTTAAATTTTATTGGACTTTATGGTTTAATGTTCTTTTCAACTGTACAATTTTAGTTTTTTTCTATACTAGTTTGTATTATTTTGATTTTTGTTTTTATGTATATACATATAAAGATTTGTTTTTGTAACATATAGGTGTGGAATGTTGATGATCGAGGAAATCACCTGAATGCTGGAAAAATAGAAGTTACTGAGTCTGACTTAATACTGCATCAGCATGGAAAAGGCATTATTCGGTGGCCATTACGAAGCTTACGAAGATATGGATTTGATGCTGAGTTGTTTTCCTTTGAATGCGGTCGACGTTGCCCTACTGGACCAGGCATATATGCCTTTAAGTGTCGAAGAGCTGAGCTACTCTTCAATGTTTTACAGGAGTTCATTCAGAACACTGGTGGAAGTGGAAGAGGAAGCGTGGGAGGTAGTGTTACAGGGACACCAGCTGATCAAAATAATGTAGTCAGTACTGGTGCTACTTTATCCGCCAGTGGAAGTGTTGCTAGTCACCTGGGACATCATAGTTTAGACAATAATGATTACCTTGAACCAATAAGGGACAATGCTTCTACATGCCCTTCTGGAATAACATCCCCAAGAGCAATTGGAACACCAGTAGAGAACTGTTGTTGTGTCTTAAGAAATGGGAGAGCTGCTTCTGTAACGGGAAGCTCCTTGCAGTCTCGACAAGAAACTGCCACGGTAGTTGGAAATGAAGCAGGGTTATCTAATCTCTGTAGTTTGAGTTCTGGTAATCGACATGCTAGTCCCCATTACATGAATGAAGAGATATTTACTCACATGACTCGCTCCACGGGCTCCTTTGCATGTCCGATTGCTCATCAATATGTTAACTCCATATTATTTGAAGATAACACACACAAATGTGTTAGACACTCCTTACTTCATGGGCAGCACCCCTATGTTAATGGCCATGTTCCACCCTGTGGCCATTTAACTTGTGGTTTCATATTTGCTAGTCATTGCCAGGCTCGATGCCCTCATGAAGGTGGTGCCATCCCATGCACACATTGTGTTGATCTGAACACTAATTACACAAAATTAGATGAATTGATGAAGCAAGAACAGACTGCAAAACAACAGAAAGAACACTTTTATGTCAATGTAAATCCTGATATTTCAAATGGTTCATCCAGTACAAAATGTGGGCTAGGAAATAAGGTAGCTTCTAGCACTTTATCCCGAAGTAATACCCTTACTTCACCAACAGCTCACCTACCAAATTGTGCAATGGCACATCTTTATGTTAATGTTGGATCACCATCTTCGGAAGGGCAAAAGGAACAGACATATGTTGATGAGTCAACAAATGAAGAAGCTGACAGACAGATGAACTATATTATACTAGATCTAAATCATGGTAATGATAAAACTAATGCTATCACATCTCCCTTATCACCACCTGCTAGCATTGCTTCACTTTCCGATTCTCCTTTGCAGCAGCCAGAAGGTTATGCTACAATTGACTTTGATAAAACTGCAGCTCTGTCCAACTCGGCTAATCCATCTATGGTCAATGATGATAGTGTTCGGAAAACTCGACATAATGGAATAATTCCTTCTGGTAGTCCTTAGAAACCCAAACTTGAACTTACAACCAGTTGTTTTACTGAACTACCTGAATCTAAGTTAACACAATGATTTATGAACCATTCTTAAGTTTAATGTTCTGATGTATGAGTGTAACATGCTACAGACTACTACACTCTGGCATTTTTGGTTATTTATAACAACCAGTAGAGAAAGAGCAAAATATTGCTTTTTGTTTTGTTTTTAAAATAACAGAGATTGTGTGACCAGATTTTTTGAAACATATGAACAGTTTCTCAAGTTTAAGATTTGATGTGATAAGGTAGGGAATTTTTTGTCATTGAGTTGTGAATACATTTTTGAATAGTGTCTTCTAAAGTGCATTTTGCATAGAAAGTGTACTACAGGGCATCTCCCGAGCTAAAAATATGTAAACCATTAATTACAAAGTGATAACAAAAAAAAATAATCATTGTTCATAAAATGAGTCAATGAAAATGTGCCAGTACACATGAACACATACTTATGTGCCCATGGTTACCAAGATGTAGTTCATGAATTGAACATTGTTTCATATTTTATTATAATAAGTTAATTTGTTGTGTTTTTGTTCAGTCTTTTCAATAAATATATAGTGTACCTTTTTGTAGGAGGCTTACGTGGCATTGGAACCTCATCACCAATAGAATATTGTATAATCAGTTATTATATGCCACATTGGTAGCTTTTCAAATGAAGTTATTCTTATGTAATAATACAGAGCTATATATATATTTATAGTTGTGGATAGCCTGCATTAAATACCTATCCTGCATGTTTCTATTCTATATGTCAGTTTACCTCAGATGACTTTAAGAGATAAGTTATATATATATATATTAAATATATGAAAAAGGTGTTTAGGTAATGTTTGCATATAAAATACAAATAAGTCTTTGTTGTAATGTACAATCTAACTTGAGAAAGAAATTAATTTGATATGGATTAAAGAAGGTGTGCATTAACTGTGGCTTTTAAACATGTGGCTTGGTCCCTAGTCTAGTAAAATATGGTTCTTGAAGGAGGTAGTGTGTATTAACTGTGGCTTTTAAGGATGTGGCTTGATCCCCAGTCTAGTAAAATATGGTTCTTGAAGGAGGTAGTGTGTATTAACTGTGGCTTTTAAGGATGTGGCTTGATCCCCAGTCTAGTAAAATATGGTTCTTGAAGGAGGTAGTGTGTATTAACTGTCGCTTTTAAGGATGTGGGCCTGATCCCCAGTCTAGTAAAATATGGTTCTTGAAGATAGTGTGCATTAACTGTGACTTTTAAGTATGTGGCTTGATCCCTAGTCTAGTGAAGTATGGTTCTTGAAGATATTGTGTATTAACTGTGGCTTTTAAGTATGTGGCTTTATCCCCAGTCTAGTAAAATATGGTTCTTGAAGATATTGTGCATTAACTGTGGCTTTTAAGTATGTGGCTTGATCCCCAGTCTGGTAAAATATGGTTCTTGAAGATATTGTGCATTAACTGTGGCTTTTAAGTATGTGGCTTGGTCCCTAGTCTAGTGAAGTATGGTTCTTGAAGATATTGTGCATTTACTGTGACTTTTAAGGATGTGGCTTGATCCCCAGTCTATTTTCTTCAAGAACCATATTTTCCAAGCCACATCCTTAAAAGTCAGAGTAAATGCACACTATCCCTAGTCTAGTGAAGTATGGTTCTTGAAGATATTGTGCATTTACTGTGACTTTTAAGGATGTGGCTTAGTCCCTAATCTAGTAAAATATGGTTCTTGAAGATAGTGTGCATTTACTATGCTGTGTCTGGATTGTATTTTGCCATTACAGTACTACAAATATTATTTTGATTTTGTGTTTATTGCGTAACCTTACTAACTGAAGTTGTATTCTAGTTAGATAGCAGCTGTGTAGGTGGTACAGGTTTACAGTAATTTTTATTTTACTTTTGTTCTGGCCTGTATACTGTAGCGTGAAAAAGACTTGAAAATTAACGACTGGATTATCTGGCCTAGTCTGTAATTCAGTTGAATAGAGTTAATTCTGAAAAATGCAGTATCAAAGTATCTGACATGAGCAATTGGTGACAGGGTATACAAGACAGATGTGAAAGATAATAAATTGTAGGTTTAGAATGTTTTTATTATGAATTGTGATCTGGCATGATTCATATTTCAGTAAGTTCATTCACTGGATGTTAAAGTATGTTTGTGGTAGCTTTTTTATGATTTGCTCTGGCTTAAACCAAGTTGTATAATAGGAAATTTTGAAATGATGCATGAATTTACATCTTTTTAAGCTTGAGACAAGATGATGTTATTTTTACCTAATGATTGTTAGGTATCCACAGTGTTCAGTAATTCCAAGGGTTGCCTTGTTGTGCATCGTGTTCTGTAAATTAGTAGAAGTCACCCAAACTGTGGGAGAAAGTGTTAAGAAGGTCTAGCAAGTTATTTACACCATTCATAAGCTCAACAACACCTAGAGATTTTACATGTAAGTACATAAGAATTTTTGTGCAAAAAAACAAAATCTCCCAAATACCTACTAATAGTTTTTACTGTTTTATTACTAGATAAAAATCTACTAATAGAATTCTGGATGTATTTTCACCTAAATTAAGCTCTAATTTAGTAAAAGTAATGTTATAAGCAGGTTAACTTTGATTTTGTAATCATTTAATTTTTCATTTTGTTAGTGGTTGATTTTATGAAATAAATCTACATGGTATATGTATGATCCACTAGATAAGACCACCTTAGAAATTTATGAAGTATTGAAACCACCTAGAAATTGAAAGAATGTATTTCTAAATTAAAAAAAAAAGTATTTTCAAATTGTGGTTAAACTTATCTGTGTATTATTGAATGTGCTTTTTGTATTTCTTGTTATGGTAGTTATGATTCTTTGAGAAACCACAAACTGTTTTGAAACGTTTCCCAAAAAAGAAGTTACATTTTGGATGTCATGTTGTTAAAGTACATCATCATTTAGATCAAGTTCTTTTTTCATAAAATCATTTCTTTCTATCAAAGTTTAGAAAATATGAAAGAATTTTAATGATATGCTCTTTAACTTGCTTATTTTAAATTGTTTGAAGTAATACGAGATAGATATGTTTTGTATACTTCAAAACAATACAGAAAATGGAATCTTGATTGTTTAGGATTTATTAATATTGATTTCTCCTTGACAGCCTTGAAAGGAAAAACCCATCAAAATGAAAGTAAATTTGTACTTATCCAAGGCAAATGAAAATTTATATTTGTTTAGGATTCAAAATGATACAGAAATATTGAAGGATAATAAATTTTTAAATAATTCAATAAATCAATAGAAACTTGCTTTGTGTTTATAATGTTTTAGTCTTAAATTAATATAGTTTATAATGAGCACTTATTAAACTGTATTCCTCCTTCTTTTATCATTACTACCAAAGTCAAGTTGTCTATGAGCTGCATAGTTATCACCAATGAATGTCTTTATATTTAGAAGTTATTACAGATAAAAAAACAAAACGTACTCAGATAAATTCAGCCATTATTGAAATGTTTTTGAAAAGCTGTTCAGCAGATAGTTTTTTTTTAATGTTTTAAAGGATCATATAAAATATGTGTGTAAAAGTGTAATTGTTCATTAATAAGTATGATATATCAGTTGTGGTTTACTTACTGTTTAAAACTTTATGTGAAAAATAAAAGATAAAGAATAACTTTTTAGAATACTTATTTTGAGTTTCTAGGTACTGCTAAGAGCATTACCATAACTTGATATATTGCTAGTACGTATTTTAGAATATAATATTGTCTTTTTTATTTGTGTGTATGTATATATATAAATACTGATTTTTATGAAGTCCTAACATACATTTTAAGTGATTATTTTGAGTTCTTTTGGAATGTTTACTTCTAAATTCCATTTGTTGTGAATATATGGACAATTAGATATCCTTTTCTTGGAATATATATATATATATATCTTTTTGAGACTGTAATTTGTTATTTGTACATACAGTGATGAATTTCTCAGTTATACTTCATTTCTAGGATGTTTTTAAGTGTTTTAGTACTAATTGTATCCTAACAAAAAAAAAAATTAGTTTTAATCAGTAAACCATGGCTGAAAGTTAGCTTTACCGGGTATAACAGAGCCAAACATTTATGCTTACACTATGCATACTTACGAATGAATATTGGAGTTTCAATTTAAAAAGTAAATCTCTTAGGATTAGCATTTGTAACGACAACACTAAGTTAAAAGTTCGTACTTTTAAGAGCAAACCAGAGCCAAAAGTTTGGTGCTTTTAACAGCAAACGTAAGTCAAACTGCTTGGGGCTTATAACAGCAAACCACAGCCAAGCATTAGTGTTTGTAACAGGAAATCAGAGTAAAAATTTTGGTGCTTGTAACCATAGGCCAGGGTCAAACATTGGTATATGTAACTACAGACCAGAGCCAAATATTGGTGCTTGTGACGATACAAACAATAAACCAGAGCCAAATGTTGGTGCTTGATAGGGGTGGGGGTGGAGACTGCACGTTGGTACTAGTAACAGGAACTTGTGAGCATATAGGAGTTAGCACATAAATACTTTGTTTTTTGGACTAACTTTATATATGAATATCATTCAGATTTTATTAGTTGAAAGTTTTGTAATTCAAACTGTTAATATTTGCAAGTTAGGTCTTAGGTTAACATTGGAATGCTTTGTTAATCGTCAACAGAATATCATGTTTAGTTACATTCTCTGATCAAAAACATTAAGGTGAACGTGGTACAATAGGTAAACTTTACTAGTATGGGACTCCTCTGCACAAAGTATGAGAATGTATAATTTTATCTTCATCTTCCCTTAGCAACCATCAATAGAAGAGTACCAAGTACTTCATCGTAAGAGATCAACATTAATAACGTGGAATTGAATTATTCGTGTATTATGAATTTCAGAATGGCCCCTTCAATGTAATGGTATTGTGGTATCTCAAAAATTCGAAATTATCTAAACATTTATCAATAGTAAAGATATTCTTTGTTAACTGATTTATGAAATTTAATATAGCATCTAGGAGGCTGGCTCCAAGTGCGATTGATAAAATACCATAGCAACTAGTCTCTTAGGCTTAAAAACATCAATACATTGTATATAACCGAGACTTTTCGGATGCATTGTTTAAAACATTTTATAAGGTCGTATTTGCTGGAAAAATTCATTGTAGCGATTCTTTTCTAAGTAAAAAAAAAATAATGTTCCTATTTTAAATAACTAGCTGGAAGATGTTTGTTTTCATCGCAAAAGTTTAGTAAGGAGATATTTGTAAGTTTTTGTGTTTCAATTTGTTGATGTACGTGCAGTGTAAAAGAAAGACATTAAATAATCCTGTTTTCACGCCACATTTAGACAGCGTATAGTGGAACGTAGAAAATGAAACAAAGTACTTCAAAACGAAAATAAGTGAATTAATGTTATTTTTTGTGAAAAGTTGTTCTTTGAATAAATATATAAATAAGTTTCGTTTAAAAGTTATGTCTAACAAGTTTTGGTATAACAATATGTCAAAAATCTTGTGCTAAAATTGTGCTTTTTTTAGATAGAAGAATAAAAGGATTTTACATTTGAAATTGAAGCTTTTACTTTAACAAACAACACGCCATAAATAATAACTACATAAAGCATAGAGATGAATGAAATTTAAGTGTTGTAAGAAAAAAACACACCTTGTGCTGTATAACTATATAAACAATAAAAACGAAATGTTATAAAAGTGACAACCCTGATAACATGATATGAGAAATTACCATAACCAGAGGTTCATTATGTTAAAACAATTTTGGAGCTTCGACACATCTGATTATGCTCTTACTTGACGACTAGGCACCTTGTCAATAGCCTTGTAGCATAGTTTCCATTGTAAAAGGCTCCGTCGTAAGGTTATCATTTCAGAAGCACACCACGCCTCTCTCCGTGCTTTCCGTAATCCATCTAGTATACGAGGATCGCATAGAAATCCTTAGACGCTGAGTCCGGCGACTTAAAACGTGTCTCCGTATAGAATAGTGTGAATACTCGTTTTATTCTCCAACTTCCTAAGGTATACGACGGTCGAACGAATATTTCGTGGAAACAACATGTATACACGTGATTTCTGTTGTTTCTTCAAACGGGAGATCCTTCTTGATTATGTCTCCCTGGAACGTATGGACAGCTTTTACCACTGATCTTTGTGTTCATGGATTCTCACATGTTAAAAGACATCGCACTTTGCTTACCATGGCTGGGCTATGACTTGTTGTAGGTCTTTATGTTAATTGTCCTAGTTCCCTAAGTTGATCCACATTTGTTTGTTTTCCAACGTCATTAAGTTCAAGGAATGTCCCAATATTAGACATTTTAAATCTTCTACCTAAACACGTTTGTATAACATGAATGTGTGAATATTTTGCATTGGAAAGTGGTGTTACACACCCTACACAAAGGTGATCAATATTCAGTGACATCATGCAACCTACCTAATGGCAGTGTCAAAATGTTGTTGTAATACATGGCGTTCCACGGTGACTTTAAATCGGATATGTCTTTTGGGATGAAAACGTGAATTATATGGAAATTTTGATATATACA